GTGAGCACAGGACCCATCCGCTTCAGAAATGTCATCTTTATGTGCATCTTCCACCAAAAGCCATTTCTGGCAAAGCATGCATTGTCTTGCCACACCACTGGCTCTGGCAGGATTTTAACCTTATGCTTTCATAAATGTAATTAATTGGAATTTTTTGTCTGCCCTCTCAGTTTCAGTACATTTTACATTACTTTTAAATATTTTAAAAATTATCCTTGTTGTAGGAGTACACAATGGTTTTAAATAAAACTTTTGTGATGTTATGCAGCAGATGACTGGTCCATTAGAGAATACGGGATATTATTAGTCTCTGCCAATTAAATGTACCCAGTGATGGTTCATAACTTAAGTGAAAAAGAAGCTTAAGCCAAAGAACATTCACTGTGAAATTCAGGGTGGTTTTCTTTTCATTCTTGCAAGAGTGTGAAAGTATTTAAAACCAATTAAAGATCAAGTTTTTTAATGGGAGCATTATAGTTTTATTGTGGTCCTGGAAGGAGACAGGAGTCAGGCTAAATCCAGAGTATCAGTAGCAATTCTGGATTAATTCCAGCTCCTGTAGATCTTGAGAGTCTATCTGTCTTGAGATGGGTAATGTTCATAGCTTAATCATAGACATTTGCTATTAATATTAATCTGTTTCTTCTTATGACTCAGAGTGCTTTGCTGCCAGAACACACTGAAAAACCCCAAAAGACAGTGAAAATGAGTGCATTTATTACATCAAGAAGACATGGAAGGGGGGGAATGGTGAACTCATTTTACAAATTGGAGTTATGGCTATTTATTATGAGTCATTTTATTGTTTGTCTCACTGCATTACCTGGCTGGAATCTCTGCTGAGCTTCATGCTGAGAGATAGCCCATGACCTTGGGATGCTTCCCAGCACAGCCAGGCACAGAGTGCCTCTGGTGGAGACATGAAAATCCTGGGACTGTTTCTATGGTACTCAGACAGGGCAGTGGGGTCTAGGTAAGAGCCCCAGCTCAGTCCAAGAGCACACAAACAGTGTTCTCATGTCCCTCATGTCTCTGCTTCAAAGGAGAAGATGGCCCAGACTGATACCTTTCAGAATCAAAAAAAGGGAAAAAGAATGGAGCCTCCTACTCCTGCTATAAGCCTCATCATCCTCCCTAGAGAACTATTCCCTAATTTACTTGTTAGGGACTACTCCAGATCTGTCTATGCAATAAGCATAAAGGAAAAACAAAAATAAAACTGTTGGACATCAGCAAATAATGTCTCCTTTTCTGGCCATACCTCATTTAAAGGAGCAGTATCTCTCAAGGAAACTGCAAAATATTACAGACATCAGAAGCAAAGGAAAGTCATTTCTACCTTTTAGTGACAGAGTGGATTGCCTGAGACTCCGTTTCCCATTCTTCTGAGGTAGGATTTATTTTATTCACCCCAAGGGCAAGGGCACAGCACAGCCACATGCAGCAAGAGAGTTACTGGATGTTGAGCTCTGACAGGATTTCTACAGTGTCTGTTTCTACAGTCTGTTTTCCCCATCCCAAACAGTGATTCCTGAATGTCCTGAAGTAAAAAGTCTGCCCCCACGCCTACATGACCAAAGCTGCCTTCTGCGCCCTCTTTCTCAGTTGCTTTCCATCCTGGCCTTTACAGACTTGGAACTTTGATCTCTCCTTCAAGCCTTGTGGAGTGGCAAGTACTGCCTAGTGGAATTTCCTCAGCTGAAGTACTTCTAAGATTAAAACACAAATACTTAAGAGGTTCAAACAAATACCAAAATAAAGCACAGAATCATTCAGATATTACTGAAGTATATGCAAATAAAGCAAGTAAATGTGTCCAATTGACTGAAGTGGCCTGTTGACTGCACAACCTTTAAAACAAGGACGGGGCTGAGGATTTCAACGTTTGTTACTCCGAGTCATAAGTGTATCAGACTCTCTGGTCAAAGGAGATCACTATCTTCCCTTCTTCTTCATTCCATTGATCATAAACAATTCCTATACATGTTCTTAAATGGTACAAAATAACAACAATTGGATCTGGTTCGCAGGGAGAGCACAACGCCCCATAATTCTCATTGCTGTCTCCCTCCTGTCAAGTACATTATTTCAGCTTTGCTGTTATGCTGTCTTCTGTTTCTATTTATGTGACTTCTTTTTTTTTCCCACTTAAATCACTCCTTGCATTGATCCAGACATTTGGATATATAAATGAAAGGCCTCAGACACAGAAATAAACACAAAATATGATACAATATTTTATTGTTTGTGCAGAATATTAAATAAAAAAAAGTCCTCTTCAAGAGAGCATGATATTTGCAAACTCTTTCTGTCTCTGTCTTTTAGCTGACTGATTAGGGTTCCCAGAGGGTATGAGGAAAGGCAAGGCTGGGTACCGGAAGTCTGTCGTCCTTGAAGTTAGGCTTTGCACGTGTCAGATCCTCATGGCTGGGACAGAGAGCACCTAGTAACCAAACTGTAGCTTGTGGATCAACCACAAAGTTGCTGAAAATGTTGAAAACATTTTGATCACAAAAATCATCTGAACTTCTCTTTACTTCCAATTTCTAGATCTCACTGAAACTAGAAATAACATTATTTATTAAATGCCTACATTATATTGATTATCTATAATAGCTATACTTTGAGGTTTTAATACCAAAAAGACTAAAAACATTCACATCACAGTCTGCCTGCAGTTCAAAATTTAGACATGAAAGTGTATGCTGGAAACATACACATGTGAGCACAGGAACGTGAGCATGCATGCATAGGTGAAGAATTAAAGGCTAACAGACAAGCAGAGAGATAAGCAGTTGAGAACATACTCTGCACATTTTCAAATAGATCTGACACCAGTTCAGGCTATAAATTCCTTTATGCTACAAAATGCACATGGGCATGAATTATTTTCTTATTGATCAGCATCTTTTTTTAATTGGAAATGTGCATTATGATGTTAGACTGGCTAAAAAGATCTCATAGCAATTTTTGTGAAGGAGTCGGTCTTTCCTGATTAAAAACCTTGCCTATTGAAACTTTATTTACTGGTTTCAGCCACTGATCCAAATCGGTCTGAGATCTCTGTCTGATGTGCCTTAAATTTTGGAAGAGGCTAAAAAGAAGTCAATGTAGCAGCTTTCTCCATTTCTGTTCTGAAAAAAAAAAAAAGGCAGCATGTAGTGCCATTACAATGCACTGTATGATGCTGATAAAATACTGCACTTGTTAGCCCCTCTCTGAGGAGGACAGCCAGCCTCATTTTGTGCAAAGTGTTTCATCAGCATCACAGTGTGCCTGGCTGTGCCCATGCCTCCCACAAGGCTCATGGGAAGGATCTCATGTTGTTTCCATCTTCTCACATGCCAGAACTTCCACCTGGACAGTGGGTTTCCTGCAGAAAATGAAATACACATTTCCCAGACACCCTGTTGCAAAGTCAACCAGGACAAGACTGATCACTGTGTCCAGTCTGGAGAATGCAAGTCCAATTCATTCTCAGCCACAGCGCCTAGGTAAGGAATGAGGTAGTTTGCTTGACTATACACCCCGATCTAAAATAGATGCCACCTCCCACTTTTAGGATCAGTGCTTCTTCATGACATGAGGCTGGAACTGCGTTTGCACTTTTTGCACGCCATCATTGCAAGCATTGCACGGCTGAGGTTTCTGTGGCTCTTGTTTTCAGTGGAATAATTCCTTAAGCCACTGTTGAGATTGGAGACTGTTCACTGTATCTCTATACAGCAAGTAATGTAGCCTTTCAAAAGGTAACAGCACTGTTCAGTGTAAAGATTTCTTTACACTACTTCGTTTGTATGAGCTCTCCTTGAGTTGCAGCTGCCACACCTGCTGTGCTTACAACATACTTTTTCACTTCCTGTGGTGAATCCGAAGATCTGCAGAGGCAGTAATCATGCCATAAGGACACATATATCCATCTGCCCTATATAAGTAATTCCCAAATTCAGATGCATCTCCTGACTGTAGGACCTTTGTTCTGAGTTCGGCTCTATTTCCACATCCACAGAGCATTTTGTGGTAAAGGAAAGTCTGGAGTGAAGTTATCACCCCAGACCCACTGGACTTATTTTTATTACAGCTTATACAGAGCCACTGATCTGTCAGGCATCCCTCTTCTGAGAAGAGGAGAGAATAGGGATGGCACATGTCCATAGCTCTTACAGCAACAGACCCTAGGCAGCAAAATCTAGACTAGAAATAACTCCTGCTTTCTAGCAAGCGTCTCAGGGACAAACGTGAAAGTTGAATGATCAGTTTCCGTTTTTCATGGTGTCTCTACAGCAAGAAGGAAAGCAGAAACCTTCATCGCACACATGTGTGTAATGAGAGCAGAGGTCAGCTCTGGCACTTTATGTGGTTTCAAAACTGCAGAAGCAGTTCCTCAAGGCCTATTCTACTTGGCAAGCAATATTTTTTTCCTGCATGAAATAAAACCAGACACAAAGATGGGACTTGTAGTTGCTGCACAAGAGAAACAGTGGTTTCATTATTTGTGGTTGATCAAGATCCACTCACCTGGAGTTCTGACTAACCTTCAGACAGGTTTTCCCCATCTTGACTAGCAAAACAAGACATCAAAAATCACTCCTGAAATGGTCTTCTCACAAGATTCCCAATTCATTTGTGCAAACTCTAGTAGTTTGGATGATTCAAATAAAGGTCAGCTGAGCATTCAACTCAAATCAAGGAGTCTTACCCCACCACACTATCATCTAGTATTGACCAATCAGTGATCACATCAAATTAATTACACTACAGTAGTGGTATTTGCAGGTGGAGCAGTAAAAATCAGGGTTCAATGGGAAACAATAGGAACTTTTACTCTGAGCAACATGCACATAAAACCTGACTATTCTGGACAAATTTTCTTGGAGGTTTTGTGACTGGTTTGAATTCTTTTTTATTTTTTATTTTAGAAAATACTTTCTCAACTTACTGAAACATAAAATATTTTTAATTCATTTTTCAGTAAACTCTAGATTCAAGTATGTTATTAGAATGGAATTAGGCAATACAAAAGAAATCTGTCCTGTGCTCGTTTCAGAAATGTAAAGTGATAAAGACTAAAAAAGCGCAATGCTTTTTAAGTGGAGCACTTGGATGATTACCAAAAAGGAACCACTACATCACTGCAGTTGACAGAAGACACTAAACCTCTGTGCAGTTTCTAGATGTTCAGATGCTTTCTTCAGTTGTAGAACAGACTTCAAATATGGATTAAAAATGTTCATTCCAAATTAACCAAGAAGGGAATTATGAACAACCCATTCCTCTTCAGACTACCTCAACCTGTTCAGCAATATGTAGCACAGAAAGAATCTCACGCAGATCTCTGAGCTTTGGCATGTTCTCTAGTAGCTGTGAGGTGCTCTCACATCACCCAAGGCAGAAGAGTTTCAAGGGGCAGAAACTCTCAGCTTTGCTATTTTCCTGGAAAACACAAACTTCTATTTGCACTGTTACCAAAGATGAACAAACAAAAGAAATTGCATCCCACACTGAACTGAAAACAACCCATGATTTCTGCCTGAATTTCTTTAGCTCCATCTGATTTGTGTCTTGATAATATTATGAAGTCTTTTTGGTTTTAGATGTCCATGGTATCTTTCATCCCAGAACCTGTTGTTGTGTGCTCTGAAGGATCAGCCAACAGTGGTAGCCATAATGCTATAATGCATAATTCTTCAAGGAACAGCACACACATACTCCTCCAGGATTTTCCTTGAAGAAGTTGCAGCTGGACATTCCTGGTGCATATGATTCGTCAAGTAGACAGAGGTATCTAGAGAAATAAACAAAAGTGTGGATGGTTCACAAATATTTAAAAAAAAAAAACTCTTTTGACATTGTTTTGACAGATTTCATTCTGTTTTGCAAATAAGAGATTTGAGGTTGGGGGAAACTTGAAATTTGTCTTTTGTTCTTCCAGCTCTTACAGAACCAAAGAAAACAAATGTAGGGAGGGCTCTGTGATCCAGGAAGGGCTAAGATGTAAACATCCACAGGTTCTGAAAGGGAAATACATTCTAGCTTGTCCATGGCCTGGAAAATAAACATATTTGACTACAGTAGTACTCAGCAGCTGGTTGTTGGATTAGAGCTGCACAGCTGGAAGCCTACAGTGAAAAAAAAGTGTTACCTAGAACACAGCAGTAAAGCAGAAGGGTTTGCTGTAAATGTCTGAGTAGCTGAAAGGTCAAGAAGGAAATGCAGGAACAATGAGAGACAATAAAAATGTTAACTTGATTATTTACTTTATTAAGTCAGGTAGGAAAGTTTGAACCAGACCTTTGGGTTACTCCTAGTTATAAAGCACATCCACAGTGAATGAAGGAGTTCTCAGCTTTGGAAGCACAATATGTATGAGAAAAATGCCTTCTGAGACACTGAGAAAAAGCAATACTTTTCTATACAGAGTTTCTCCTGAGGAATCTTCCAGAATTGGTCCAGTGCATTTGTCTCTGCTTAGGGTTGGATTCAGCCCACCTAGCTTTCACAGAATCATAGAATCATAGAATCAACTGGGTTGGAAGGGACCTCCGAGACCATCAAGTCCAACCCTTGATCCACTACCACCGTGGTTGCTAGACCATGGCACTAAGTGCCACATCCAGTCTCATCTTAAAAACCTCCAGGGATGGAGAATCCACCACTTCTCTGGGCAGCCCATTCCAATAGCTGATTACCCTCTCTGTAAAGAAATTCTTTCTAATATCCAACCTAGACCTCCCCTGGCAGAGCTTAAGACCATGCCCTCTTGTCTTACTGATAGCTGCCTGGGAGAAGAGACCAACCCCCACCTGGCTACAACCTCCTCTCAGGTAGTTGTAGAGAGTGATGAGGTCTCCCCTGAACCTCCTCTTCTCCAGGCTGAACAACCCCAGCTCCCTCAGCCTCTCCTCACAGGACCTGTGTTTGAGTCCCTTCACCAACCTTGTTGCTCTTCTCTGGACCTGCTCCAGCACCTCAATATCCTTCCTGAACTGAGGGGCCCAGAACTGGACACAGTACTCCAGGTGTGGCCCCACCAGTGCTGTGTACAAGGGAAGAGTCACTTCCTTGGACCTGTTGGCCACACTGTCCCTGATCCAGACCAGGATGCCATTGGCCTTCTTGGCCATCTGGGCACACTGCTGGGTCATGTTCAGCTTCCTATCAATCCAGACTCCCAGGTCCCTCTCTGCTTGGCTGCTCTCCAGTCATTCTGTCCCCAGCCTGTAGCACTGCATGGGTTTGTTGTGGCCAAAGTGCAGGACCCTGCCCTTGGCCTTGTTGAACCTCATCCCGTTAGAATCAGCCCAGCTCTCCAACCCATCCAGGTCCCTCTGCAGAGCCCTCCTGCCTTCCAGCTGATCAACACTCCCCCCCAGCTTAGTGCCATCTGCAAATCTGAGTCTCAAAACCATAGCTAAATTATTTAGTTATCTGTACAACTACTGCAGACAATGAAGACTGCTAGACATATTCCCAGAAAAGTTAATTTCACTGGTCTTAGCCATCTATCTCTGTCCAAAAAACTCACAAGATGATTTTGTAAGCCATCAGTATCATCAAGTGCTCAATATCTATTTGAGGGTACAGGAATGTTAAATATTCCCTGGATGCCCAGCACACTTCCTGTGAGCAGGCTGGAGGGAAACAGCAGAAGGTTTGCTGCAGAGTGAGTGTGAAGTCTAAGAAAACTACTATGACAGGTATTCAGAGCTGTGTATGAGTGTTTACTGTGATTTTTCTGTAAGCCTAAATAGCATTTCTTGTACAAAGGACAAGTGGTAATCTACACAAACAGATCAGGTTGTTTGTGTTGTCTCCAAAAGAGAGTTAAAAGCACTACCTACCTCTCTCTTCCAATACAAAACCAGAAAAAGCATAGATTTTTTCTTTGATTTGTTGATTTGTTTGGCTTTTTCAAATGAAAAGATCATGAAAATTTACTATAAGAAAACTATACAAGAACTAACACGTCAACATTATGGAAATATACAAAAGTGAAGGGACATTGTAGTAACTGCATCCTTTTAAAGACTCTCTATATTTGTAAAGCCCATTCAGTTATTTCAGTAAGTAAACTGTAGAAGCATCCAGTACACTATATTCAGCTTTATTCACTTGTGGAAAAATCCTTTGGAATGTTATAAGAGTGAAGCCCAAATAGTGCAATAGAAATTTTATCCAACATCCTTCCTATACAATTATATAAATTGATTTTTGAATTCTGTAGGAATACTATCACTCTATTAAAATCTATTATATTTTTTCCATAAGGGCTAGGTTCCAAAGTGCTTATAGCAAATATTCCCGCTTTCTCCTGCAGCACAAAAGCCTCCAGTAAAACCTGTGACCTTCTATACATCCATTTGCTAATAACTGATCAATACTAGAGAAGAGAGAAGTTTCCTTTTCTTTGGATTTAATGGTATTTGGAAAGAGACCCCCTGCAATCCATCCAACAGGGTTCAGTGATGTGAAAAAAGAGACTACTAACACATCAGTATTCTGTAATATTGGAAGGGAGACCCCCTTTTGCACTGAATTAATGCCTGGAAAATCTACTCCCCTCATGCTTTTTCCGTGTGATTTGCTGGAGCTCATTCTTGCTCCATTGCTGGGAAGGCCAGGACATATCCCCTGGCAGTTTTTAAAACTTTTATAAACTGGAAAGTATTTTGCTGGCTTGAACTTTGCTTGCCTAGAACCTGTGAAAGATGCTGCTGTTATTGTTGGGGTGTTAGTTGAGTTTAGTCATGTGATTCATTCCTGTTAAATGAGCTGGTTTGATTTCTTTTTAAAGCTTTATTGTTTATCTCAGGATGTCAATTAATTAATTTCCCAATTACTTACTTGTGTTTCGTCCCTTTGGTTCATTCCTGTATGTGAAGAAACTTACTGGGGAGGAAAGGGGAAAAATGTATTGTTCCACCTTGGTTTCCAATTTGTTATTTTTGTCTAGGTGAGAAGGCAAATCTACAGTGATTCAAATACCTTCAAGGTGAGAGAGAGAGACAAGTGTTCTGGTGCCAAGAAAGCAAGACTTTTTGCTGAGCAGAGTCTAGTGTGTGTCTTAGCTGAATTTTCAGCATCCTTGAAATCTGAGGAAGCCATGTATGGGGATCCTCAATGTTTCAGGTGAAAAAAAAAACACCTGGTTTTCTGATTGGAAATTGCACATATTGAAGGTTATTCCAGTGGCACATCATGGTGTTTTTTCTAAGGTGATGAGCTGGGCCTCCCTGAAGTCCTATTGGCTGAAATATTTACTTGAAATCCTAGAAATGTGTGTTTGTTTGTGTGTATGTGTGTGTGTGTCTACAGAAAGTACAGTTGAAGATGAGGCATATTTAACTATCCTTCCATTTTGTGTAAAAATCATGTAAAGATATGAAAATGGAAATAAAGTTGAGATTTAAAGTCATTTACCATTCAGTGCACTGAAACATTTGCCAACAATTCATTCACTTACTTACTTGGCTCTTTGGCTACAAAATTCACTGTGGAAGGACCTAAACAAAGAATTTCATGGAAATGGGAGACTGAGTAAAGACTATATTCCTGTGCTTCTAAGGAAATATATCTTAAGTAAAGTGAACGTAATATTTAGTGTGCCTGGAATGGAGTTTTAAGCTACAGTTTTAAGCTGGTGATTTGTGTACTTTGAACTCTATACTGGAAATAATACCAATTGCTGGTTTGGGTAAGACTAAATCCTGGGGTGGCTTTTGTCTCAGTGGTTCACTCTTTTAATTAAGAGAAAGTTATCACATCTGAAAACAATCACAGTGGAAAACTATTTGGGAAGTATAAGTAAGTCTCCTTAAATCAGACCTAAAGTTTACTGAAAGTCATAAAGGACTAGGACAACATCAGTTTGGGTGTTTCTATCCATCTGCCTGCTTATATTGTTACCATATAAGCACCATTTCACTGGAGATACACAGAATGTGCTATGAAATACCATGGCTAGTTCCTACCATCAGCATGAATAAAGACTTGAATGTAGAAAAAAGCAATCAAACATGTAACACACATTTATCTGTGCTGCAAATTTACTTAAAACTCAGCTAAGGAAGCACCCCTGGGACCTCATCAGGTCATTACACAGAAGAGCAAACAGGTCAGTGCAATCCTGATCCAAAGGCATACCTTGGTCCATGTCAAACTGGAAATACGAATCTGCTCATGAGCAACTCCAATCTGATTGTCAACTACTCCATGGTTGACAATCACTACCAACTACTTCTGCTGTCTCTCCAAAGCATGCAGCAAGTTGTTCCCAAGGCTCCATATTGATGAAGTGCTTTCCCACTGTCCTCCATCAGCTGTTGTCCAACAAAAGGGTGCAATATGTGCTCGGTACCTGAGACAGCAAAGTACCTCAGGAATGATACATATAAGAAGAACCTTTAGAAAGGTCATTTTAGTCTGTGTCAAAACAAAATGCCTGAAAGGGCTATGACTTGCTGAAAAGAGACTCAACTGTATTCTTCAAATGTGGCATTTCAAAGAGTCCTGGACCTGAGTTACATGATTCTGATCTCATAAAAACATAGAAAAAGTAGAGTGAATCATGGTGAAATATTTTCAGGCCTGGCCTGAAATAGCCCAGATGAGGGCCAGTGTAGCTGGAATGCATCTCAACAGGGTTTTTTTTCCTCCTCAAAATGAGCATATGTGCTCAGCTCTGTATATAGTACATGGATGGTAAACCCACAATGCATGGTCAGATAGGCAAGAATACTGGGATGTCTGTGAGGAGAGAAGGGACTCATTGAATTGGCTGAATTTCTGTAGGTGTAAACAGACCTTGCTAAGCAACATAAAGTAACTAATGAGCCATAGTTGAGTGAGAATCACTGGCAAGATGGCATTAAGTCTGACTTCATTTTTATTATGAGATTATAGAAAATAAATAAACTTGTGTACTTCAATTTCAGTACCTTTGCTCTGGGTAGAAGTTAACCCTGTTGCTGCTCCATGGGCTTTGCTCCCACATAGTGCTCACTCATTTTTTATCCTGTCTAAAACTGGTATTACCTAACACAGTGCTTCTGGACAACTTTCTCATAACGTTGAAAGGAGAGTAGAAATTCAGGTGGACAGGGAGAACAGAGTTCAGTATTTCCCACAAAATATGTTGCAGAGTTAGTGCCATAGTTTTTTTTTTACTTTTGGTTTTTGACACACAGTGAGGAATAGAGGATAAGTCTTGAACTGTTCCTTTCATTAGGAACAACCCTGTGAGTGGGAGGTACAGCATACTGTCTTAAAATGGTGCATGCGCGCTTATTGGCAGTAAAATGATCTGTGCTTCAAAATAAATCTATTTACTTCTTGCATGGAAAACTGCACAATATACAACACTCCCTGATGTTGGCACATGGGCTCTGGCAGACCACCTGCATGTTCTCTGTGATATGCCATCCACAGGACAGAAGTAAAGCCCTGCTGAGATCTGAGGCTATTGATGCACTTCTCAGAGATCATTTTGTGGAGAACGACTAGATTGTCAGCCAGAAAAGGGTAAATCATGTCTTCACTAGCATAATTCTGAATAACAGAACAAATTCCGCAAGGACATGTTTCATTTTTCACAGAAACAAGTAAACCCAGTATCATGTACCTAGTATTTAACAATTCCTTAAAATAACCCTGTCATTAGGAGGTGGCAAATACAGTCTGGTTCTCAGTGTTTTTCCTAGTTCTGACCAAAAATGTCCCTGTGGGCATGCCGCACAGAGACCAAAATCCATGAAGTGCCTGTAAATTGTTAAAACAGTAGAAAAAGTGCCAGCTAACACAGCAAAATTTTTAAAATAACAGCACTTCATGAAAATATGTTGTAAGTAGCTTTAAAAAATCTGTTCCTCTTCTGTTGTCAAGAAAGCTGTAAAAATGAAATTTACTTTTCAGATACCCAACATAAGAAAAGAGTAACACAGATGACATTAGTGTCTCATCTGTGCTAGAAAAAAAGAGCAGACACCACGAGCAGAGGCCTGGTATCCCACCGTAACCCAATTAAATCGCAATCTGAGGGATATTAAAAACTTACCATTCTCCTATGGAGGGCACTGCACAAAAAAGGAGCCCAAAGCAGATATGATATCAGCATATACTGTACCCATGGCATCATGGATTGCAATACCCAATTTAAATTTGCATTTCTTGGACACCAGAAGAATGTGTTCTACAGGAACTCCAAAACACACTCTTGAATACTCAAAAGCGCTTTGCGCCACGGCAAAACTAAACCAGACCCAAAGCTTCATAGCAAGTCTAATGCCTCCCAGCCTCTCAGAACACTCACCTTCAAATCTGTGCACAACCTCCTCTGAAGGACTTGAAGCACTGGCCATACCAAAATCACATCTTTTCTAACTCCCCTTGAGATTCTGCATCCCTTTCTTCTGACTTTACCCTTACAAGTAACCACAACCTCAGATATTAGAACGGACTTCTATTACTATTCATCTCCCAAATCCAATTAGCATAGCTTACCCAGGTGAAAAACCCAGACCTGCAATTTCCCCATAAGTCTAAATTAGCTGTCAGGTACAACTTTGGCATCTGATTCTCTGTTTAAAAGAAACTAATAGCACTGATTCAGCAATTACTCAACACTCAATAAATACTCTACTGCTTGATTTACCTTTAAGAATAAATTGAGTCTAGTTATGAGGCAACTGACCTGCAAAATGTCTATCCCAAGAGAACCTTCTGAGTTTGAAACATTAGCTAACACTTGGTTCGAGCAAAATTTTTGGATATCTCTGAACATCTAACTGACTCCCACCACTCTGTCACTTTAAGAAATTACCACCTGTATACCTGAATCAACATTTTCAGACCCACCAGCCTAGATAGGAATGTTTAATGGCGGCAAGAAAGGACCTTTGGGACTTTTTCTGCTCTCATGCAGAATTTCAGAAGATGCAATTACAAGGGGCCTTGTAACTTCTCCTGTATGACAAAAAGATTAAAATGGATACAGATGGCTCACAACTCCATTTTCTGTCTCACCCACTGTGTTGGAATATTCTGCAGACATGGAGTTAAATGCTGGTGATGAATGTCACCAGCATACATATCCTTGTCTTCTCAAATATAACTGCATTCTGTTAATGAAAACCAACAGCTGAGGAACCAAGGATGTGGGAACAGACGTAAGTCCTCTTGCTTGAAACTTTGTTACTAATCTACCGCTTCTACTATAATTTACAGAAGAATGAAAAACAAATTTGAGACGATTGTTTAAGGTTTTTCCAGAGTTCACTAACTACCTCCTAGAAAGGATCTGTGTGAAGGGATATGGCCAAGCACCTTTCCCATCAACATAGGATTAGGTTGGATTTAAAGGCACTCAGATCCCATGGCTCTGTTGTGGAGGAGGTCCTTTTCCTCCATTCTTGTTACTTTATTCATTCTCAGTACTGTCAAAGGCACCTCTATTTGGGGAAATCATGAGATGAAGAATCCACAAATTCCCTTGATATTTTTATTTGTGTAGTGCTAAAAACGCATAATTACAGATTCTTGTTATCTTTTCTTCTATGGATTAAATTAAAATTTAGTATTTGCTTTGCCCCAGACTTGAAGGTATTCAAATAGAGCAATCAAGACCCATCTTCTTTTTGATAATCTAAACAGTTGAAGCAGCTTAAATACTACAATATGAATCATTTCTCCGTCTCTTCAACTGTTTCTGGTATTCTTTTTTACATTCAGTCTCTATTTTTTTCATCTTTCATGATGACTGGTTTGACAGCAGCATTGATCTTTGGTGTCTGATGAGTTCAAAATAAAATCAGTCTGCTACTCTCCTAAGTCTCCTCAGTTGTATTCCAGTTTCATGTTGCAGATTAATCATTAGCTATAAGTCTACCATGACTCCTTTTCCAACTGCTGTGTTCTCACTTTGGTATGGGACTTCCACTGTCAAATTTCATCTATTTTATATTTTCTCCTCCATCTTATAGATACATTGAAGATTGCCAGCACAACAATGGCTGTGAGATAATTAATTTGATAATAATTCTTCAGTGATGATTACTCTTTCATTATGTTATGAGATTCATCTCACACAAAACCCTTAGTCCATTTAAAATGTGTTGCTACTATACAGTGCTAATTTCAAATACCATGTCATATTAAGCAAATAGCTTTACAAAGACTAAATACACTCCATTATGCAGTACATCAAAGATGTTATAACTTTTGTTTCACCATAATTTTTCATGTATTATGCTGTCAGAATTTATAGCCTTAGTTTTAAACCATCATGTGACTTCTGTATCAATTTAACTATTATTTTACCCAAGACCTAATTCATATAAAGTATTTTTTTATCTGAACACAGTGCAGCACTTTTCTTAAATATTGGCAGAACATTAGCATACTCCAGTTTTCTGGCACATTCGCAGTTTTCAAGGACTTATTTAAAATTAGTATCAGAATACCAAAGATATTCTCATCTTTAGAATTTCTGGACTTAAGTTACCTGTGTCTGATGATATTCGAATACAATAAAACTATATTGACTTCTGTCTATTTTCTCCTTTTACGATTTCTGTTGGTTGCATTTTTCCTTTTTAATCCATTCTCCGAGTTTACCACTGTATCATGGGTTTGGGCCAGAGACATCCTTCTTTTTCTGATGGTGCAAGTAAGTCATGTAGTCAACACAAATCCCTTCAGGCACTAGAAGCATCTCATTTCTAAAAGTACCTTCCTGCTCAGCATCCCATAGGGGTGCTGTGTATAGGACACAACAGAGGGAATGTTCCATTGTTTTAATGATGTTAGGGGTACATTTACCTATCCAAAGTAAAGGTGTGTTAGGATGGAAAAGTTCCATTTTTACTTCTTGCCCTGTTAACACTGAGGCTTTTTTTACATAACTATTAGTACAATTTTTTCAGTGTGGCCCACCTGATATATATGTATTAAATGAGTGGTGTACTCATTGCAGGTCTTATATTTGCCTGGTTGAACTGTTTTTTGTTGAGAACTTCATAGAAAGAAGGATCATTTCTTTTCAGCTCTTAAATTCTAATATTGAGAGGAAACAATGACTCTGAGGATCAGAGTCCCAGTCAACTTATTTTATTTATGTTTTTCTTTATTATTTTTAAATGCAACATATTTTAAGTAACATCTGCCTGTTTTTTGAGCCTAATTTGCTGTTGATTTATATAGTATGGCTCATCCAAGAGCATCCATTAAATAGAACTTGATTCATACTTCAGATCCCTAAAAATAATAATTTTTATCAATATTATTTTTATTATATGATTATTCCGATTATTTTGATTATTCTGATTAAAAGATGCTCTGCCATCTCTCAGTTTGTGAGATCAGCATATGCCTTCAGTCACAAGAGGAAAACAATAAAACACAACCTCCTTTTGAAGGCAAGCATGCATTTTCAACTGACTGTCAACATAAGGAGAAAGAGCAAAAATGCCTCAGAATGGAAATAAACTTTCCAAAGAGAAGGGAATCATCTCAAATATGAGTTATAGAGAAATCCACTAATGAAAACCAACTGTGTCCCTGTAAAGAAACAGCTAACTGCTCCAAGGGAATACAATTGCTCCAAGGGAATACAACAGCACATATGCTGAGGGAGCTGAGTGACAAGGTTGTCTGGAAGCACTTAAAAAATCCAAGAAAGAAACCAACAAAGATGAAAAAGTGATAAAAGATGGGGGTAAATTGTTCACACTGTAAACTGCTGTATTTCAGAACATCATTTGCAAAGCATAATGGTGAGGGTGGTGGTGACCACAGTAAAGGACACGTGTCATACTGAAGGGGTCTCTGGTGCCCTTTCCCTTGAGTGTCTCCATTTGAGCCTGGGCTGGTCCCTCTCAGCCATGAAGAAAATTAATGCCATCTTCTTCTAACCCCAAAACTAGTTGTCCTCGATGCATATGCATGTGTTTACAGCTAACATGGGATTGACCAATGACCTGCAAAATTTGCCCTCTGTATTAAGTAACCAGTGGGCGCAGGTTTGCTTTGTTTAATATGTTGGCCAAACGCAGCCCAAAGCATGGCTTCAGGCACATGGTGTGACTCTTGGGGATGGTCCCGTGCAGGGCTAAGGGTTGGACTCAATGATCCTTGTGGTTCCCTTCCAACTCAGCATATTCTGTGACTCTGTGATTCTGTGATTCCATGATCCTGTGATCCTGTGATTCTGTGATTCACAGAATTAGCTCTCTTGTAAATTACATGGCCTCACAAAACCTCCATGCATGGCTGCCTGCTCTATGCTTCAAAAAAGACCAATGTTTCTCTTTCTCTCTTGACGCTTTTGTCCCTCTTTGGAGCCCTTTGGATTTGTGCTCTCAATTCCCATTCCTGTTCTTGCATCCCCCAAGCAGAATTGGCCTTTCTTCTGAGAAATTGGCACCTGGAGACCAGTGTGGCCAACACCTTCACCCTCTCTATCACCTCTGGTAGCACTGCATGCCAGTGGCCCCTTC